CACCATCACGGCCGCCGTCTCCAAGGATGAGGAAAGGCCGCGTGCTGAGCCAGCCGAGGAGGTCGAGGAGGTCCCCTTGGATATCTCCCGATCGGAGCGGGTCTTGAAAATCGGGAAACAACTCCCACAGGATCAACGTGAAGGCATCCTCAGCGTTCTGCGGTCATATGCCATCATTTTTGCATGGGGGGCGGACGACATGCCTAGCATCAGCCGACAAGTGATCACTCATCGGCTGTCAATCGATCCCGCCTCCACGTCGATCAAGCAAAAGCGGCGCTACCTCTCGTTCGACAGACGTGACTTCGTCAAGGGGGGAAGTTTCCATGCTCCTCTTCATCAACCACATTAAAGAGGTGAATTACCCCACCTGGTTGGCCAACGTCGTCCTCGCGCCAAAGCCGCCTACGTTCAGAATGTGCGTTGATTACACTGACCTGAACAAGGCATGCCCCATGGACTCGTTCCCTCTCCCCAACATTGATCAACTGGTGGACGAGACGGCGGGGTGCGAGTTGATGTCATTCCTTGACGCCTTCAGGGGGTACCATTAGATATTCATGCATGAAGATGACGCCGAGAAGACGGCCTTCATGACCCAAGAGGGAATTTCCTGCTACCTCGTCATGGCCTTTGGGCTCAAGAACTCAGGCGCCACATACACCAGAATGGTAGCCAAAGTCTTCAGAGCAGTCCTCGGCCGGACGATGGAGGCATATGTCGAAGACATGATCGTGAAGAGCAGGCAATCCGTTAGCCACGCCAACGAACTCCGGGAAATTTTTGAGATAATGAAGAAGTTCCAGCTCCGCCTAAATCCGAAGAAGTGCACCTTCGGCTTCCAGAGGGTAAGTTCCTCGGTTACATGGTCATCCGAAGGGGCATTGAGATCAACCCAGAGAAGATACAGGCCATTGTCAACATGGAGCCACCGCGAAATGTGAAGGAGGTACAACGGCTGACGGGACGCCTTGCGGCCTTGAACCGTTTCCTCTTAAAATCGACTGAAAGGTCTCTCCCTTTCTTTCAGATCATGCGCAAGGCAAATGGCTTCAGATGGACGACGGAGTGCCAGCAAGCATTTTAGGAGCTGAAGCGGTACTTATCGTCCCCGCCCGTGCTCTCCAAACCTAAAGCCGGTGAAACCCTTTTCCTATACTTAGGAGTGAGCACTTCGGCCGTCAGCTCTGTGCTCATCCGCGAGGACGATGGGGTACAAAAGGCAATCTTCTACACAAACAAGGCATTGCGGGAGGCCGAGCTCAGGTACTCTCCCATCGAGAAGACGGTACTGGCCATCGTCCACACAGTGAAGAAACTAGGGCACTACTTCCAGGCCCACGCCGTCCATGTCCTAACTCAGCAACCCCTCAGCGCACTCATGCGGAGCCCCACCAGTTCCTCACGGATGGTGAAGTGGGCGATCTTCCTCGGCCAGTTCCAAATACAGATCAAACCAAGGCCATCCATTAAGGGGCAGGCCTTGGCCGACTTCGTCATCGAATGTACAGCCAAGGAGACGACCGCTACCACACCAGGACCAGAGCCAGACGAAGCATGGACCCTCTGTACTAATGGTTCATCAGCCACCAAAGCTTGTGGTGGCGTCGTCGTCCTCATTTCTCCTGAAGGGTTCAGAGCCTACTATGCTATCCGCTTCAACTTCAGAGTATCCAACAATGAAACCGAGTATGAGGCCCTCCTCAGCGGGCTCAGACTTGTCGTCGGCCTCAAAGCGCGGCACATCAAAATCAGATGCGACTCCAAGCTAGTGGTGGGCCAGATCGAGGGCTCATACGAGGCTAAAGAAGGGAGGATGAGGCAGTACAAGCAGGCGGCCGAGGAGTTGCTCAAAGCATTCGAAACCCATGAGATCACCCAGATCCCAAGGGCAGAGAATGTTGAGGCCGACATCCTCTCCAAACTCAGCTCATAAACTCCAGAGCTCATCTCCAAGATAGCCAAGGTTGAAGAGCTGAGCATGTCCAGCATCCATGTCAGCCCGGTCATGTGCATCCAACAGCGGTCGGAGGACTGGATTACCGACATCGTGACGTTCATCACCTCGGGAGAATTGCCCCAGGACGAGGATAGGGCCAAGCTAGCCAAACTCAGGGCCCCGAGCTACACCATCGAGGATGGGAAACTTTATAAAAGATCCTACAACGGCACTCTCCTCCGATGTTTGCACCCAGATGAGGCCGAAGTGGCCATGGAGGAAGTCCACTTTGGTGTCTGCTCCTCGCACCAGGGCCGCTTCAGCATGTCCCGACATCTCGTCGTCCAAGGCTATTTCTGGCCGACGATGGCGCGGGATTGCGCCAATCTTGCAAGAAAGTGTACCGCATGCCAGGTCCTTCAAAAAGCCCCTGGTCGGCCAGCCGTCAACTACGCCCCGGTCAGCACAGTGATCCCATTCTCGAGGTGGGGCATTGACCTGGTCGGCCCCTGCCCAGAGCCGCCGGCAACAACCGATAAATCATCGTCGCCATAGACTACTTCACCAAATGGGTTGAGGCGGAACCTTTGGCCAGCATCACAGGGGTCAGGTGTCAGAAATTCGTCCACAAAAACATCCTCACCCGCTTCGGCGTCCCTCAGGAGATCATATCCGACAACGGTACCCAGTTCGAGGCCGCACCCTTTCAAGAGCTCCTCTAGGAGTGGGGAATCAAGCATCGTTTCTCCTCCGTGGCCTATCCTCAAGGCAACGGGCAGGTCGAGAACGCCAACAGAACCATCCTGGAGGGCCTGAAGAAGAACTCCAGGACGCAGGGGCAGTTGGGCCGATGAGCTCCCCAATATCTTATGGTGCTACCGTACTACGCCGAGGAGGGAAACGGGTGATACACCCTTTGCCCTTTGCTATGGCTTTTAAGCAAAGGCCCCCACAGAGGTTACCATACCTAGCCGACGAGTGGAGCACTATGAGCCTGAGGCCAATGAAGAAAACATGAAGATCGACCTCCACCTGATCGAAGAATAACGAGAGTAGGCCTTCATCTGGGCAGAGAACTACCGGCGTCAAGTAAAATCATAGTATGACGCCAAGGTACGCTCCCGGGAATTTCAGGTGGGGGACTACGTCCTTTGCCGAAGAGAGGCGAGCAATCCGACAGAAGGTGGCAAGTTGGTACTCAAGTACGAGGGCCCCTACATCATCAGTGTCGTAGTCAAACCTAACACCTACAAACTAAAACACCCAAATGGGTCTAATATACCACGAACGTGGAATGTACATCACTTAGTGAAATTCTATCAATAATCCGGGGACGGTGCAGTTGGCAAAGCCCTCACCTTCCCACGGATTGTTGGTCGGACGCCACCCTCGGCCTCGAGCCACTTATTAATAAAAGTTGTTTCTTACTTCTCTAAAAGATCAGAAACGTACTATACACTGACCCCTCAGAGCGAAGATGCTCAGGAAAGGTCAACATAGCACATCGTTCCGGCCCCTCAAAGCGAAAATGCTTAGGAAAGGCCGACGGTGTCCCCAAGACGAAGGGCCCGCAAAGAGCCCACGTCTTGAAATGGGAAGCTCACTGCGTCGTCTATCCGCGAAATCAGCAGGACGACGGGTCTGAAATCATGGCCGAGGTGACAAAAATCTCCCAACTCAAGGATGAGAAACGGCAGTCGTCGGTAACCGACCAAAAGCCTTAGCCCGCGTCATAAATAGGCGACGGGGCCTCCTTGAGATCCCAGGACGATCCAGTAGGACTCCTTACCGGTCGAGGGACTATCGACCCCCTTGGCCGAAGCCTGAAAGAAGGACACCCACTCCTCGCTCAAATGAGTAGAGAAAAAAAAACAAAAGAGGGACAGCCGATGAGCCGCGCACTTGCCGGCCTGAAGCGATATCCCCAAAAAATAAAAGAGGGACAGCCGAAGAGCCGCGCACTTGCTGGCTTGAAGCGATATCCCCAAAAATAAAAGAGGGACAGTCGAAGGGTTGCGCACTTGCCGGCCTGAAGCGATATCCCCAAAAAATAAAAGAGGGAAGTCGATGAGCCACGCACTCGCCGACTTCGAGCAATAAAAAATAAAATCCCCAAAATTGTTTAAGTACATATCAAGCAAAGCATTACGTATTACTGACGAAAGCTCCCAAAAAAAACTTGGACAAAATCACCAAGGTAAACTCCTGGGGCTGAAAAGGGGCACCACATGGCCGGCATCAAATAACCCAAAGGGGAAGCCGTCATCAGCTACTCACAATGGAAGCAATCGCCCAAGTGTGTTCAAACACTTAAAAAAAATTCTAAGTATTTGGAGATATCCCTGAGTACCACCCAGAGCGGCCGATGAGGACAAAGGTCCCCAACACTTGGAACGATCCCCAAAACTTTCTAAGCGGGACGCTCAGAGAAGTCCACAACAGTGTGACGTCAAGCGTCACAAACACGAAGCAGACATTCCCCCTCAGCCGAGCAAAGGACAGGTCCTCTCATCGGCTACAACTACAAGAATCAGGCTTGGGTTCTGGTGTAAACACTTGGAAAAATTACATGTGTAACAAAAGAAATGAGGAATGACACGAGACGAAGATTACATGGTGGCCGAAAAGAACACAGGACCGATGAGAACACCTCGGCGGGGGAAGCTATTCCGCACTGGCCGTATTGGCTGACGAAGGAACTACTTGGTTTGACACTTGGAAAATTCTCCAAGTGTGACATTCAAATTGACACTTAGAAAATTTTCCAAAGTATGAACAAAAGAAAAGGGGGGTGTAATGCAAAGACGACGCGGACACTCACTCAGTTGAAGTCTTGGTACTTAGAAACAATATCCTAAAGTTCCTGCTAAGTGCAAGGGGTATTCCTCATAGACGAAACGTACTCACCCAAGCTACCCGCTTCGGCCGGAGCCAGGTAGCAACCGAAGACGATAATTACCCAAGTCCCAATTTCAACATAGAAAAATTTTGTAAAGCTTGAGAACAAACGCAAAAGGGAAAACAAGACGAGGAGGACACACAATAAAGCCAGAAATGATGGATATTTTTCATTCATATGAGAAGTCATTACATCAGGAGGGCTCAATGGCCATTACAAAAAAGGCATTATAAACACCTGCCTAGCTAAACTACATAACGAGAAGTCAATCGATCAGCTCCCCGAGGCGACTTCATCAGCAACCAGCCCCACATCGGCTTGCCCAGAAGCAACTTCATTGCCCTCTTCCGGCCTTGCATTTCCACTCGCCTCGGCTGCTGAGGAGACAGCGGTGTCGGCTAAAGCGTCATCATCGGACCAATCAGGCTCACCGATGGAGGAACTGAGTATCGGATCTTGCCTCTCGAACGGGGGGAGCTTCGCTTCGGCCTCCGGGTCTTTCATCAGCCTCGGAAGCTTCAAGTTCTTCTTAGCCCATTTCTGGGTGAATTTCAGTTTCTTGAAAGCCCGATGCAGCCTTCGGTAGATCAACCGTTGCATCCTCTGTTGGCCCATGTCGTAGTAAACAGCCATTTCACGGGCAAAGCATTCCTGACCAGCAGGGCAATTCTGGCCCCGGTCTTCAAGCCGGTCCGCCACAACCTCGTAGCACCAGGGCCGACGATCTTCGGCCTTCCAACCTTTGGCCAGGAACCTCTCAATAGCGCCGTCAACGACTTTCTCAGCGGCCCTCTCAGATTCAGCCTGAGCTCTCGCGGCGTCCTCGGCCCGAAGCAGGGCCTCATCACGGCTTCTCAAGGCTTCATCCCTGGCCCTCAAAGTGTCGACCCTGTCGACGCCACCTGCCGGTAGGCCCACTCGGCATCATCAACACCCTTCTGCAGTGCCTTCACCTCCTCCCAAAGCCGATCCAGGCAGGCCATGGCCTCCTCGGCCGAAGCAGCCTTTTTCTCGGCCTCCTTCAAACGGGCAATCTCTTGCTTTTGCCGCTTATGGCTCTCCATCAGCATAAGGGCACCCTGCAACAAAAAAGGAAAAGAGAAGAGTTAGGACGCGTCGAAAAGTCGTGACACAAAAAAGATGTAATGTACAAGTAACTTACGTGGACGATGAGGTCCATCCCGCCGTCGTAGATCCTGATGGGGCCTAGTTTCTTCAAGTAAGCCCGATCCTCAACCGGGATAGCTTGGGCCAGAACATCATGGCCGTCAATGGCGTCGTTGAAGACGCCACCCTTCACAGGGTACTCAACCTCGAGTTTGTAGGTCCCAACGGTCAGCTCCTTGCCGACCCACTGTTTACGGGGCTCTTGGCCGACAGGCGCGGCTGGGACAGAGCCGTCGACGAGGGGACCGAAACTGCATCAACAACGGCTACGGCATTTGAGCTCCCGGCATCATCATCCGGTATGGTCAGACCGTCGGCACCAGCATCGGCCAGAGGGGAAGCCCTCCTCGACTTCTTGGACTGCATACCGGCCTCGGTTAGCTTCCTATGGTCGTCATCCACGGGCCGTTTCTTCTTCGGCTGCGTGGGTGGCTTCTTTGCTGCGTCAGAGCTCGGCTAGGCGCCACTCGCAGTGGCCATCTATGCGGCCTCTTTGGCTGCCATTTCCTCCTTTGCCTTAGCTTTGGCTAGGGCCATGACGGGTCTGCGATCCATGACGAAGTCTGCACAACGAGGAAAACAAAAACAGTTAGCAAAAACAAAAGTAAATATGGACGAAGACGCCAGGGAGGGTATTACCATCAGCGTCAGCCGACACACCCAAATCTGGGCCATCGGCCTCCTCAAACGTGGTGGTCATCCTCGGCCACAGCTCTGTATCGCTCTCCTTGTCGTCGTACACATAATACATCATGAAGCCGAGGCGGTCATCTTATACTCCGTGATGTAATCTTTCACGCTCCTCGGTCCTCCTTTCAGAAATGCCGCCACCTGGGCATCCAAGATATTGCTCTTCGGCACAGCGTGAAGGTTGAACCTACCGTCATGACCGACTGAGGGAAACTCTGTGCCGTCCTCACCCAACGACACGAAGACGAACTTGCTCTTCCAACCATGAATGGACGAAGGGAGGTCAGTAAAACTCCTCTTCTTCGGCAGCTGTTGAAGATTGGTGTAGCCGGCACAATTCTTGTGACTCCCTCGGCCAATCTGGTATAAATTCATGAAAAGGGCCGTCGTCGGCCTAAAGTCTAACTCATCGCAACGGAGGAGGAAACTGACGATGAGTGAGTAGCTGTTCGGGGTCAACAAGGCCAGAGGGAGACCCACCATGTCCAGATATTCCGTAATGAACGGGTGGAGGGGAAACCTAAGCCCCTTTTCAAAACTCATGGGGTATACTCCAAAATACCCCGGGGGAGGATTCAACACATGATACGTCGGCCCGAGTGTCCTAACCCTCCCATACGGCCCCACGTACATCCGGGCCACCAAGTAGTCAGTCGTGCTGCTCTCCGGCTTGATCAGATAGAGGTTCGTGAGGTCTAGGTAGGAGTAACCTCGACCCTTCTTCGGCCGACGCTTTCTCGTTGGGGCAGCTCCCTTCACAGCAGAAACCGGCTTCGGGCAAGGAATTGCAACCGAGGTAGACGCTCCGTCCACAGCACGGGAAACCACTACGTCCTCACCGTCAGACGACGAGGCGGTCTCTTCGTCCTCGCCTTCACTACCCTCTTGCTCCCCTGTTTTGAAGAAGCTCAGCTCCTCTTGCTCCTCACAACACTCCTGTAGTCATAGGATTTAACAGAGGGCTCATCATTATAAGGGTAGTACTCATCGTCCAAGGGCTTCATCATAACAACTAACTAAAGCCTAGGGGTTTTTACTTTGGATCTAAGGGTGGTTTTTCACTAACAGCGGATCAAAGGTGAAAAGAAACAAAGTATACAGAGAATTGGAGAAAAGTTCAACGAACTGACCTTTGAAGTTTTGAAGATCAGAGGAATACACGGAAAGGCTTTCTCTCTCTAGAAAATTTGACAGCACTTCGTTATCTCAGGAATGCAATGAGAAACCTCTTCGGAGGGAGGGGGTATTTATAGACCTCCCCCCCCCCCCCCCCCCAACAGTCACTACACGTGGCAACCTCCCGTTGGCCACACGAACGACCACCACTCCCAAGGCCTACTGGGCTGGCACCGGTTCAGAAGACGGGTCAGGCCCACTTCTGCAGTATCAGCCCATCGCTAACATCCGAACAGGCAACGCCCGCAATGGCCAACCACTCAACGGCCACGATAAGAACGCGCGCCTACATCGACCTCAACACAGAACTTCAAAAGTGTAAGTATCTTCTCAAGATATGACCATATCGGCTCGAACAGAAACCCCACGCCATTGGCCTTGCGCAAAACCCTGATGATAATTTCTTGAAAGCGACCTGCGTCCAAGGGTTCTCCCACAGGATTACCTTGGTCAGGAAATCGCCAAGGAATTGAATTCAGGGGAACGCAAGAGTCCGCTTCGGCCCGGGCAAACCCTTTACTCTTTCACCCCTCACCTACTCTTCGGCCTGAAGCAGTGGGGGACTGGGGGACTACACCGCCCTTTGAAAATCAGGACAAAATCAAACAAATCCAAAAATATACAAAATCTACAACTACAACATCAGATATGCACCACAGCGTCCATAACCGGCCGCAGCAAAGTAAGCAAAAAGAATTCCCTCCAAAGATGCAACACCTAAGATCGCGGCGCACTCAACGACTTTGACCCCGCATACTCCACTCTCGGCCAGAAATTAAGACAGGAACTTATCGTTCTCAAAACATGGACACCAAGCTGCGAACACACAGAATGAGCCACAGCGGCCGAATAAAGCAAGCACCCTCACCGGCTACCTAGGGGAAGAAGGACACTCATCGCCCTCGAACGGGGAATGACCACAATAGTCTCTTTGGCCATGGGCACAATGTTCAATCATCAACGGCCAGGAGTAGAGAAACATCGCCTTCATCGGCCACTCATCGCTCACAACGGCCGAAGCAGGGAAAACCCCATAACGGTCCCACAACGGCCAGAAAACGTCAAAAACGGGAAATCTACTCCCCCTCACTTCGTCTACATCTCAGCTCAGATAGTGCGGGACTCTTGATGGAGTATATGAGCCTAGATCCCAGAGCCCACATACTCAGAAGAACAAAAAGTACCACGACCGCCTGATGGTACCCTCGTCAGCCAAATGATCCTCATCGGCCAAAAAGAAGTCTACTCAGAACGTGATCCAGAAGCCAGGAAGAGCCGGTGACCTCGTCAGCCGAGTCTTCGTCGAACACGCCCTCATCAGCCACAGATGACCTCCAGAATAGGACTTTATACTTGATCTTTCCTATGTACCTTGTATCCGGCCCATTAGTGGTCATATTGTAAATGAGCCTCCCAAGCCCAAGACTTGGGAGCAGAGCCTTAATTTTTCCTATAAATATTCCCTCTGAGAATAGTTGTAAGGGTTCACAATTCATTAATATAAAACAAATATACTACTTCTCTCTCTAGCTCTCACTTCTATCTAGACTTATAATCTATCAGCCACATTGTGCACTGTGCACATATGGAATTAGAAATAGCCAGATTAATATTAATAAATAAACTTTTTATCACCTTATTTGAATTATTTTTTGCAGTTTTGATAAGTTTGCTCCACAATATCAAGGAAACCGTCTAAATGTTGACATTGCAGTTGAAGGGAAAGTTTACCAAAATTGTATAAAATCATTCAAATAAGGAGAGATAATTTATTAGCTAACATTTATGTGGTTATTTTTCATGCCATATGTGCACACTATTGTATATAGTAGACTTGGTCCGAAAAATCGAAAACCGGGTCAAATCATACCGAACTGTTGCCAAATAAAACCGAACCGCTAACAAACCGAAACTGAATGTAAAAAACCAAACCGAACCGTAGTTGTTTGGTTCGGTTTTGGGTTTTACCCTTCAAAACCGAACCGAATAAACCGAACTAGTTAAAATAAACAAAGTAAAATTTAATTGTCCATTATTAAGCGTTAATCGTAACTAATCCTAATATCATTAATAATTTTTGATGTTCTTGTGCTACAGAAATAATGTTTGTTATGCTTAGTTTAATGATAATGTAGCTATAATGATAATATGTTTTTGCTTGTTATTTGTATTAATTAACTTTTATTATTATTTAACTTAAAAAATCGTATTGATGAAACAATAAATATTTATGTCAACTATATCACATATAACGTATATACTTATGAACTTTTTTTTGAACTTAGACAAACAATGTAAATTAATACTCCCTCTGGTTCTTATTTAAGTTCCCAGTTTGACTTCACACATATTAAAAAAATGGATTTGACTTTACTGTGAAATGCACTATTTGGACACTGTTTGGAACTGTTATAAGAGACGAAGAAAATATTACTTATTGCTTATTCCTATTTTATTCAGATCAGATCAAAAAAAATCAGATCAATATAGAAAAATTCAAATCTAGTGAGAAACATTCAGATTAGAAAATTCATAGCAAATTAGAATCATTGTTATTATCATATTATTATTAAATAGTTATTATTATAATAATAATAACAGTTATTATTATTATGATTTTATTATAATTATTATTAATATTATTAGTGTAATTTTTGTTTTGTATGTTGGGTCAGTAATGTTACTGAAATAATTTCTTGATATGCATTATGTCATCCTGTAAACTCATTTCCTTCTCCAAAAACTCCAATAACTTCATGCGAACTCTTATATTTTTCAAAATGTTAGAGCTAATGGGCATACTTTTTGCAAGGTTGAATAGAGGAAGTTGTAAAAGAAGCTGACAAGAGTGGAAAATGCTTCTCTGTACATCAGATGCTAAGATCTCTTTGTTCTCATACAGGAAGTTGTAAAAGAAGGTGAAAAGAGTAAAAAATGCAGCCACACTAGCTATGCGGGAAATTCACTTGAAATTATCAAGTTATTGGCAATCTGATTTCTATTTCATGCTCGTGTAGATCACTCTCATGTTAGTGATCAGCTTCAGATCCTCCCTGTCTTTATGTGTTCTGTGAAACTTATCTTACCTATTCATGCTGGTTTTCATTATTCATGCACCTGATTTATCTGTGTGATTCATGCTCGTTGTAAAATAATTAAAACACATGGTGATTGAACGCTTTTTCTAAATCACAATACATTTCTTTAAGGACGAATTTAATCAGCGTGAGAAAAGAAAGTTATCTGCATAATTAAAATAGAAAGTGGTGAAAATCAAGAAAGGTTCACGGCAGAGACTAATTGCCAAGGGACAGATGTGGAATCCAACGCAATCTCTTCAGACAGGTTCAAAGGAAACTTGTTTAGGTGTCATCGGTTCAAGAACATAAATGTGGGCCACAACGCGGATAGTCCATCTTCAAAACAATAACAAGAAAGACTTGAAAGACAAGGTGGCCAGCGATTGAATATAGCTTATGATTATTTTGTTAAGTACAGCTGTTATCAGAGCGGCACTTGACCGTCCATAAGCACGCTGAATGCAGACTAGAGAGCACAGTAATATGAAATTACTTCCCAATGCTCGAATACAAACTCGGAATTGCGATCCACAAAGCTTCCAGGCTGATCTTTCATGAAAAAAGCTGTTTTTATTTAGATTTATTCTGTGCCAAAACTATCAGCAAATTGACTTCGCTGATAGTTAAAAAGGGCATGTTACTTCTTGGATAAAAAGACTACAGCAATCTTCATATTTGAAACAATCAGGACAAGAAAGCCGCTTTAACTAAAAAAAAACTATCAGCTATACTTTCTGGAAGATGGCAAGTCAGAATATCAATAAGCCTCGTAAGTTTGATCAGAGAAGTAAAAACCTCTCACTCATCTAATCGAATCATCATTCATGCCACCTTAAGAACAAGTCTGTATTTGGACAGCGGGGTATGTAAAAGGGAGGTGTTGAATGGAAAAGATTTGCAGTATGAACTAGTATTTAAGGTTTTAAAGAGACGTTCATCCGAGGAAAAAATCTGATTAGTTTAAAAAGAACGAATCTTCAAAGAAAACCGAGGCCTCAGAGATCTTGGTGGAAAAATATCATCATGTGGAATTTCCAATCAAGAGTAGCAAATATTTTATAACATCAACGGCCATCAATGCTGGACCTTTCAAAAGAGTTGGAATAAAAAATATTTGGATTAAATTTCATGGGGAGTCAGAAGTAGCTGGTTGTTGTAATCAAGTTGAATTCATAGGGAATCCGTCTGATTTTTTCATCATCCTGCCCAAATCCTTTAACTCCAAAAATATAAAACAAAAAACATAACATCCCATATCTATTCACCTGAATCCCTATTAAAAATGATAGGATTCGGATCCCAAGAGGGACACATAAATAGAAGACTGAACATTCACAGTTTTGAATTTGTTATCGTATGAGGTAGATCAGCAAAGTACAGCGCTGTAAAAAATTTAGTTCCCTTCCAATGAATTAATCATTCACCTAAACATTTTCCCAGAAAAAAACGATTGTTGGAAGATCATGAATGCACACGTTTTATGATCGGTAAAACGCGCGCCAGAATCTCACTACCGTTTTCATTTTGGCAACGTACAGCGCTTGAAACGCCATAGACAAAGCGTTTAAGAGACTCTAATTTGTTGCCATAACACCAAATTAAAGAAGAAAATCCATTTAAAACAATATGACACGAACGTAAATCAATAGAACGACACTCTAGCTAAAGCATGTGAAATCTAGATCAACAGAGGTTGTATGAACAATGAGAACTTCGTATATTAATACCAGAAATTTCATGGCGCTGGCCACAGCATTAGTTAGTGAATGAAGGGAACCCTGAATTGTGTGAATTGAAGCTGCGTAGCACGTCACTATATAGGGCCTAACACACC